TCCCAGCCAAGTCCTAGCTTGAACCACTTACCAGAGAATGGGTAACATTCAAGGCAACACTGCCAGGTTGATGAGGGAAATGGATGATAGACTGAGTTTGATGCGGTTGCTGTCTAACGGATGGGAAAGTCGGCGGTGGTGGTAGAGGTGGAGGAGGAGGTGCAGGAGAAACAGGAGCAGAGCGAGCAACTGGAGAGTGGCGGTGACTAACTGGAGTAGACGGCGTGGGACCAGGACTGCTCATTGTGGTGGTATCTCCCGCAACAGTTGAGGTGGCCGCGGCCATCAAGGTCACACGTCGATTGCTGACACCGGAACTGCCATTAACGGAATCGATGGCGCGCCAAAACTGCGCAGTTGGACCTCGGGGTGAATATGACTGCGGTTGACACACTTGTGAATGCATGTTAATTTTAGGACAGAGAGATTGTTACATACTTCTTGTATTGAGCCTAGAAAAAGAGAAAGCCACTTAAAATAATGATCAAGGAGTAGACTGCTGGAGCCAAATCCTGCCATAAACAAGAAATGTTCAATAAAATGCAACAATAACTGCGCGACTTTTAAGTTATTTAAAAGCACAACAAAAAGACAATGTGGATGTTAGTGGAAAAAGACAAATGCAGCTTGAAACCAAAACTTTATGATATCTATCCACCACTACCAATGCGCTACATTTCTTAAATTTCGATGCAACATGACAGATTCAGATCAAAAATATATATGGCTTCAAAAATGATAGCTAAGGAAGCAAATGGTAGGCAAAAATCAGCTGCAACGATGAAAAAGACCTACGAATGAGATAAATGTACTACATGCAACTCCAAGTACCTGATTAATCGAGGAATATTATCATATCTACCACAATTTGACACATGCATATCATCAAAAAAGTGTGCACAACACTGATGAGGTAACAACACTAGGATACAAAAGCGGAGGGAGACGCAACCGACACCAACCAAGAACAAAACCAAAACGATGTCATTGAATAACGCGGACTGTTAAAATCGACCTTGAAGCTACGTCCATTTGCTTACATGGAACGCAAGGAAATTAACCAAGGTTACGTGCCAGAAACTTATTGCACCAAAACAAATAAAAATATATTTAAAGTAATTAAAAATAGTAGATAAATTTATTGCAGTGATCAACCATTTGCGGTTGGGATAATCGTCCAGAAAAACTGACCCATTAGCTCATGTAACAACTAAGTTGAATTGTACCTAAACGTAAAACAATTTACTATTGGCCAATTAAAGGTAATCTGTACAGTGCAGGCAAATTAAAAGATCTTATAAGCCCTTCTAGCCTTAGCATCAATATCAGCTGACTCTCTTCTAACGGATTTTATGGGG